TTACAGAGATAGTGGATACAATATTGATCATTATTCAAAGTTTTATTAATTCTACAAAATGAGGAAATACAGACCTGTCAGTGTGAAATAAATAGTGGTAGAACTACTGGAATCTAGTTTTTTTTTCATATTTTACTAACCAACCTGTTCAGAGATGTTATTAAACACCTCTGGAGCAGGTGGGATTTGAACCTAGATCTCCTGGCTCAAAGGTAGACACATTACCACTTCACCGCAAGAACTCTTAAGTCCTAGAATCTATTTTAAAGGATGTGATTGCCAGGAGATTTCCTGACTCATCAAAATGTCTTAGTTAAAAAGTGCTTTAAAAAACACAATTTTTAAGATAATAAGACGTAGGAGCAGAAATTAGGCCATTCGGCCCATCGAGTCTGCTCCGCCATTCAATCATGGTTGATAAGTTCTTCAACCCCATTCTCCCGCTTTCTCCCTGTAACTCTTGATCCCCTTGATAATCAGGAACCTAAGTATCTCGGTCTTAAATGTACTCAATGACCTGGCCTCCACAGCCTTCTGTGGCAGTGAATTCCATAGATTCACCACTCTCTGGCTGAAGAAGTTTCTCCTTATCTCTGCTCTAAAAGATTTTCCCTTTGCTCTAAGGCTGTGCCCTCGGGTCCTAGTCTCTCCTACCAATGGAAGCATCTTCCCAACATCCACTTTGTCCAGGCCATTCAGTATTCTGTAGGTTTCAATTAGATCCCCCCTCATCCTTCTAAACTCCCAAGTCCCAGAGTCCTCAAACGTTCCTCATATGTTAAGCTTTCCATTCCTGGGACCATTCTCGTGAACCTCCTCTGAACCCACTCCAGGGCCAGTACATCATTCCTGAGATATGGGGCCCAAAACTGTACACAATACTCCAAATGTGACCTGACCAGAGCCTTATACAGCCTCAGAAGTACATCCCTGCTTTTATATTCAAGTCCTCTCAAAATAAATGCCAACATTGCATTTGCCTTCCTGACTACTGACTCAACCTGCAAGTTTACCTTGAGAGAATCCTGGACTAGAACTCCCAAGTCTCTTTGTACTTCAGACTTCTGAATTTTCTCCACATTTTGAAAATAGCCCATGCTTTTATTCTTCTTACCAAAGTGCATGACCTCACACTTTCCCACATTGTACTCCATCTGCCACTTCTTTGCCCACTATCCTAACCTGTCCAAATCCTTCTGCAGCCTTGCCACCTCCTCAATACTACCTGTCCCTCCACCTATCTTTGTATTGTCTGCAAACTTAGCCAGAATGCCCACAGTGCCTTCATCTAGATCATTAATGTACAAAGTGAAAAGTTGTGGTCCCAATACTGACCCTTGCGGAACACCACTTGTCACCAGCTGCCATCCTGAGAAAGACCCTTTTATCCCCACTATCTGCTTTCTGCCAGACAGCCTATCTTCTATGCATGCTAGCACCTTGCCTCTGACACCATGGGCCCTTATCTTACTCGGCAGCCTCCTGTGCGGTACCTTGTCAAAGGCCTTCTTGAAGTCCAGGTGAAGTCCAGGTAAATAACATCCATTGGCTCTCCTTGGTCTACCCTGCTCGTTACTTCCTCAAAGAATTCTGGCAGACTTGTCAGGCATGACCTCCCCTTGATGAAACTGTGCTGACTTTGCCCTACTTTACCATACACTTCCAAATATTCAGAAATGGACTTCAAAATGTTACCCACGACCGAGGTTAGGCTAATTGGCCTATAATTTTCCGATTGCTTTTGTTCTAGGTGGTGTCGAGGGGATGGGTGCGAGATAGTGCCAGGACAGCTAACCTGCAGAAACAGAGCATAGGCAGACCGGGTGGGCGAGTACTGAGGTAGGCTGATTAGGACTGCCTCAGTTCTTTAGGAATTTGTCTCAGTTGTTCTAGAAATTGTTAGGCTCTGACCGCTCATTTAAAGAACTTTTGGATCATGACATTTACACAGATTTCACTTACTTTCAAGAGCATTTGTGTCTACTTCATAAATTTGTGACTCCTACAGTTTATGATATGGACCTTGCAGCTCTAAAAATGGGGTCTGTTTGAATTCAGCACTGGATTCAGCATGGACCCGCTGAGTTTGGGTTTCTCTCCTGTATGAACCATGCCCCACACTCTTCCCATACAAATATCTTTCTGTTGAAAATGAGAGCAGGACTCTTTTTAAATTTGTTCATGGGAGATGTTGTCGCTGGTTAGGCCAGCATTTATTGTCTGGAGGGTAGTTGAGAATTAACCACATTACTGTTGGTCTGGAGTCACATATAGGCCGGATCAGGTTAGGATGGCAGATTTCTTTTCCTGAAGAACATTAGTGAACCAGATGGGTTTTACAATAATTGACAGTGGTTACATTTGTTACCATTAGTTATGCTTCTTATTTTAGTTTTTCTTATTGAATTCAAATTTCACCATCTACTGCGGTGGGTTTCAAATCCATGACGAAAGAACTTAGTCTGGTGTTCTGGATTACTAGTCTAATGACATTACCACTATTTCGCTGCGTCCCCATTCTGCATCATAGAGTCATAGGATCCCTACAGTGTGGAAACAGGCCCTCCGGCCCAACATGTCCACACCAACTGTCACAGCATCCCACCCAGACCCACCCATATAACCCACGTAATGTACACATCCCTGAACACTACAGGCAATTTAGCATGGCCAATCCACCTAGCCTGCACATATTTGGACTGTGGGAGGAAACCGGAGCACCCAGAGGAAACCCACGTAGACATGGGGAGAACGTGCAAACTCCACACAGACAGAGGGTGGAATCAAACCTGGGTCCCTGGTGCTGTGAGGCAGCAGTGCTGACCACTGAGCCACCATGCCATTTTTTAAAGGCCTGTGGAATCTTCCCAATTGTGTGAAAATCCAGCTGTTAGTGTCCAACCAGCACTGCCTCACAGAATTAGACTGATATGGAGACAGTGGAATAGGAGTTTAGATCCAGGTCTCTACCCATCTATGCACAATACTACAGTTCAATATTTTTATTCCCCGCATTGCAACACTGGGGGAGGATGTCTTCAGAATCTAACTTGTATAGTGCTGGTAGACTGTTGGACTGCACTTAACATGAATGATAATTTAAATACTACAATGATAGAGTACAGCAAAGCCATATCACCTGTTAAGATATTTGCACTCAAACAGATGAAATCGTGATGTTTAAAATTTTGTCTATAGTATTTATGAGCTGTTCATTTTGAAATTAACAATTATTACAAAAATATCCAAAACCATTGGTAAAAAAGTGTGATTTTAATTTGAGTTGTACACCTATCCAGTCTAATGTAATTGGGATCAAAGAAATCTTCAGTGTTTTCAATTTTTTTTTACTTTGAGAGCTTTACCTTTAATGATCTATTATTAAACTGATATATGGAGCATTGATACAATAGCTTGTTCTGTTCAGTATGTCATCTTATCATTCTCAATAATTACTCTTCCATGCTGCCTGTTCTCAGAAAGTCAAAGAGCTCATTCTTTGTCTATTTAAAGCTATTGAAACATTTGAGAATCTACCCTTGAAGAGCTTATTTAATGTATTCCCCCTAAAAAGCAAAAGTCCAACCCTAAAGCAAACAAGTAACTTGAAGAATGTACTAATTTTTTTTAAAGCTGGATTGAAACTAAATTATCTGCTTAATGTTTGAACAATTTCTGCATTTTTGTCTCTTTTCAAACTTTCTCAAGTTTCATTATCAAATAAAAGAGACTAACTGTTCAAAACATATATGACATCAGTACTGTCTCACGGTCAAACTGTCAGGAGTTACATTCATTGTAAGATCCATTAAAAATTGGAACAGGAGTTGGCCACTTGGCCCCTTGAGCCTGCTTCACCATTCAATAGGATTATGGCTGATCCAACTCTCCTCGCGTCCATTTTTCTACTCTTTCCCCATAACTCTTGATTCCCTGACTGATCAAGAACTTACCTATCTCAGCCTTAAATACACACAAGTACTCTGCCTCACAGCTCTCTGTGGCAAGGAATTTCAAAGACTCACAACCCTTTGAGAGAAGAAATTCCTCTTCATCTCAGTCTTAAATTGGCACCCCTTAATTCTGAGACTATACCCCCTTATCCCAGACACTCACATAAGGGGAAACATTCTCTAAGCTTTTACCCTGTCAAGCGCCTTATGAATCCTATATGTCTTTTTGAGATCGCCTCTTCTTCTAAATTTCGATGAGTCACAACCTGTATAACATTTGCTCACAAAACGATCTCTCCATACCGGGAATCATCATAGTAAATTTTCTTTGAACTGCTTCCAATGAAAAAATAAAGTATTCTTTAGTGAAAATTGTGCAAGGCATTGTCCTCGACGGCCAGATTGAGAATAGCCAAGATTGACATTCAAATGCAGGTGAACTAAGATTTCTATGCTGTAAATTTCAAATCAATGTACTATACTATAAGGCAAACATTTTTTACTCAGTTAAGATAAGTTAATAAATCCAGTGTGTTTCAAGATATGCATATTTGTATATTTGGCACTTACTGCCTAACTTCTCTTCAACAGAAGTGTTTGATTTGATTTCTGTGTACCTCTTCTGTTTTATCCTCCGTGGTCAAAATTCATCCCTGAGGATAATGCTTCAAAGCCTTCTATTTGGTGTTCTGTCCCTAAGATGGTTGTACAGTCAGTTTTATACTGTAAATCATCTTTCCAACTGAGGGATGAATAGTCCAAGTTTTGGATCTTTCCTTCCACTGAGGCATTCATCTTTACAAATATCATTATTTCAGTTTGAATGGCTTGCAGTTTGATATCTGAGACACAAAGCAATATTTTGCACCTCGGAAGGATACATTCTAAAATTTTCTTTCTTATGATTTTGAGACAGAGACACATTTTAATAAGGTTTGAAACAGTTCACTGAAACATGCATGGCCTGCTGCAGACTCAATCATGAAGAAATGTTTTAAACTTTGTTTTTCAGGTACAGATTTCCAAAGCAGAAATGTGTCCAGTGCAAGATGACCTAGAAGAGGACATGAGGGAAGATAAATGAGAAATTAAAGAAAATGCAAGCTCAGGGTGAGGTAGGAGAAAATGCAAGGCTTCTGGAATAGTAGAAGGGAGGGAAGCAATAGAGGTATTGGAATGGATGGTCTCGATCTTGGAGACAAGGATGTATGAGGTTGTCACGTGTTGTTTGAGGTGATGATGAAGGTGACAGTGGAGAAGAAGGGTGTAAGTTGATGGCATGGAGAATTGAAGCTCGGGCTAATCTTTGCAATTGTTTATTAACCTTAGAATTATTGCAAACAACACCTAAACTTAAACAATGAGTTTTCAAATGTTCATTGAATAAAGTCAATTGAGAAAATAAGAGTCTACAAACCTAGGTCAGTACTGTCACCATAATTTAACTTTAACAGCTTGCTGATTATAAAATTAGAGTTAAGAGCAGTTTGAGTTTGTCCAACTGATGTATCTCCATCTCTACAGATTTCTAATGATTCCTTCCATGCTCTGTGGCTGTGTCTGGGTTTGCTGCCTTAAACTTCATTCCCTTGATCTCAAGGAAAGATGTACATCTAATTGACATACTAACTGGTATAGGCATATGCCAGTAATCTTAACTGTGGCAAGATCTTTTTCTTCCTCTCTTTGGAGATACACTTTGATTTTACAAACATCTTTCTACATGCTGATAATAAGCAACACCTTCTGTTACAATGATTGCTCTTAAACTGATAAAGAAAGACTAAAAACCATGGATTCATGACTGAAGCTTGAGGTGTTTCACTGTTAAAAATACAAATTTATCTGTAATTCACAAAGGAGTCAATTTTGTTGACCAATTATGTTGGAAGAGTTCAGCATTTTGATATCAGTCCCATCACACTGCCATGTTGGTAGCCGTAATGACCTCCAAATCAATGAAGCCTCTTGACATATCTACTTAATAGTTTTTATTTGACTCAGATAAAGAAAGGCATGTCTCAGTGAATGAGACACCCTTGAGACTGTGACCTTGATGGGTTGTCTTCTATCCCTGAGAAGGAATAGACTTCAGTGTTATAGAGAGATGTTTTGACTTTAATTTAGACTAAATTGGAACTTATCGTCTCTAAATCTAATTGGAAAATTTACTGGAGTAGGTGTTTATTTGAGATGAAGGTTGATAAAGATAATTTATCTGAAAATCTTTGATGCCAACAGCAAGTAGTAGATTCCTGATGAAAAAATGTTATCAAAGGCTTAAGGGAGAATTCTCTCTATCATAGCTTTCCATGCTTGCTCAATTCAAAGATGTTATTGAAAGAAAGTCAAGTGACCTGTAAGGCTAACAGACTTTTGTGACTTGCTGTATTTGCTGAGTTGATTGAGGTATTACGTTTCTTGCTATGTATTAAATAAAGTCCTTTGATCTGAATCCTATTCTTTTTGGCTAAGTCCAAATTGCATTGAGTTCTTCACTCACTTGTGCTCTCACCTCTCACCTTGCACCCCACTAATCCTGCATGACTTCTCCACTGCTTTCTCATTACTTCAGAACACCTCACCACTTTTCCACCATCTACACCAATAACAGACAGTTCACTGCACTCAATTCCTCTCTTTATCCTGTTCCAGGAAAAGACAGCCCATTATAGGGCAGTGGGGGTCTGTACAGTTGGAGTGGTACCTGACATTTTGCAGGAGAGAACAGGGGGAACACTGGGACCACTCCCATGAGAATGCAGAGAGGTTTTAGTCCCGCCAACCAAGTAAGTACTTCTCTTCATCCATTGCAGCTCTCCCATTAAACCTGTGGTCAGTGCCATTCATTGCACAGTACTTCTAATCACTGGTTATGACATCTTCTCTTTCTTATGTTTTGCAGGTACCACCAGCATGTCTATAACTCCTGGACCTCTGAGGACAAGAGTACCAAGGCCTCAAAGGAAGCATCAGCAAGGTGCTTTATGCATCCCACATGAGCTCAGTTACTGACACCTCAATGGGAATGTAAGGCTTCATGAGTGTGGGACTACATGCTGGCAGGCATCTCACTGTGACATGTCCACAGCTGGCCAAGCAAGAAATGCCCTAAGCGCACTGGCCCTCAAAGGACACCTTTACCCTGTTCTCTCCAAGTATGCTTGCAGCCATTTTCTTCCCTATTGCAATCCCCATTTAGATTTCCTGCACAATGAAAGATGACAGTAAGTGCTATTCAACCACTGGCTTTCAGCCACTGTCTCAATGTCAGTGAGTCCCAAACATATAAATCTTCTTCCAGATAGCCTATGAAGTTTACAGGAAGGGCTTTGTCCTTCCAGATCCCCACCCAACCCATGTACATGCATCTGCATCTGCCTTCCTTTGCCCCACAGCTCTTGATTAAAGGTGCCAGGCCCCCCACATCTATTGCAGCTAGGGTGCTTCTGACAGTGGACAGACTGCCATTCCACCTGAACCCCTTCCCATTCATATTTTACTGTATACCTCCCATGCAGACTGAGTTGCCCTCCTTCACATTGTCATTCCACCTCCCCCCCCCCCCACCTCCACCCCACCCTTCCCCCAGGCACTAGCTCCCAGTTCTAGAGACAATTTGCCAAGTCTCATTCCCGTGGCATAGCCCCTTTCCTCTTAGAATCTGGACACAGAGTCAATTGACTGGCCATATCCTGATCCTTGAGTGACCCAACTGGACAGCCCCAAACAAAAATTGCCCAGACCCCTGACTGACGAATGTACATTTCCCCAGCTGCATTAGCCGTAACCCCAGACTGTCCACTATGGAGTCACAGAACTGACAGTGACACACTCTCTGGACTGCAGAGTCATGGACTCCTGATCAAGATCACCTGAGCAGATGCTTGACAGTGGCCAATTCCCTATACAGGTATGCGAGGCTGCCCTTGACCTACTGTGTTAGGAGCCGTGACTGATGAGTTCGTCGACGGTCTTCAGTGAGGACTACTCCTCCAAGGCTTCAAGACATGGCTGCTTGCATGTTGGCTGCATAAGCTGTTGGCACATAGTGAAGGCATGAGATTGCTGGAGCACTCTATCATGCAGCAGAATATATACCCCTTGACTGAGAACTGCGAACGAGCAAAGTAAGCTGTCTGGTTGTGTGATTGTGCTAATTGGGACAGTAAGGCAAGGCATAGCTATTGTGAGCAAGCAGGTAGGCTCTAATTAAGCAAAAGCAAAGAGACCAAGCGAGTACCTGATTCCATCTGTGAACTGGTTACTTATCCCTGCGCACAAAGTATCCCAACAGCTGCGTTTTAATGCAAATTGCCAGTGTGCCCTGTAATGTAAATCTGTGCTTCCAGCAGAGCATCCTGCCAGTGTACTGGAGAGGTGCCATAATGGTTATGAGGGGTTAGCGAATGCACCGAACACCATTGTCTATGAATGAGAGATACATGTAGCTGGTGCCTTTGGATCGTTCCCCGAGCTGCAGTTTGTTCGAATGCAAATTGGAGATTGTTCAGAGTAAGTGGTGAGCTGACTATACCAGATACTCACTCTTGTTTCCATGTCGAGTCTTCTCAAAATTTAGCTTGTCTGGTAAGATAGAAAGCTGAAATTTAAGAAAGCCATTTAACAAGCTGCAATCCCCTTTAATCGGCAACCCGCCACTGCCTAGTAGGAACCTTATCATGCTACTTGTGAGAAGCATAAAGATGGAGTGAGATGCTCCCAAAGTTAAGATGAGCCTCACGGACCTCTTGTCTGATTCTGCCAGAAATGTTGCCATTGTCCTTACTGCTTAGGCTTTCTTTGAGACTCTGCCCTTTCACACTGAAGGTGACATTGCTTTCCCTCAGACAGCTGGCACTGTCATAGGCTTGAAGGAGGGTTCCCTGCAGTGTTTCAGTATTTGCTGGTGGTCTCCAGAAATGTTGTAATGGTTGCAGGTGATCTATTGCACGGCAAAGTGATCCCAAACCCATCTACCTCAGAAAGCAGTGAAACAGTTTTGCTTTCATTAGGAAAACAAAACATTTCTTGTTTTGTGAAATAACAGAAACCAGAAAGATGGAGATCTGTGATTCCATCCTGATAACCTTAAAGATAGGTGAAGCATTGATATTTACCAACATCTTTTGAGATATATGCCTTCAACTTCTTAAAGCGTACTTTTAATACTTAAGTAAAAGTTTGCAAATACTTTTTTATGAAATGGTGCTTCTGTCTACAATCATCTTAAACAATCACTATTCTTTAACATTCTTCATAATTTATATGATACAACTTTGGCTCAAGTACAAGTGACAATATTAAACAAATCTAAATCTAACAAGAATTTGATTTTGTTTCGACTTAGGGAATCGTTTTCTTGTTTTTACATTCGCGGCCAGAATTACGGCGAACTATGTCATTACCCCTTTAAAAAAATCTGTGAAGCACAAAGTCTACAGTGTACTAGGGTCTGAAAGACGTGTTATGATCGCGGTGCCCAGATATCTTTAGCCTCATTTTACACGCAGTTTGCTTTTGAAATTGGTCTTTGGGCGATATCCTTAGATTGGAAGAATTGCGGAGAAAAAGAACAAAATTGCACAATTACAGCGATAAAATAACTACTTTGAAGGACATTTTGCAACTTGCAGTGTGTGGCATGGGGAAAGTCCGATCCTTAACCGGAGCGGCTGCCAGACTCTCATAATCATTAACTTGACAAAAGGAATCAGAAGGTATATAAGGAGCAGAAGAAGTCAAGGCGGTGGGAAAGCCTTCGGTCGTTTTCAACAAGGAGCGCAACATGCAGGGACCTACTCTCTGGGCTTTGTGCGTCTTAGTCGGCATCTTCAATTTGGGCAAGTACAAAAACGTCTTTCAGTTTGATGCAAACGTTGGGTTGTAATCTGAGGCTGCCTAGGAAGGTCGATAATGTTCCGGCTGTTTGGAGAAGGGATGTATGACTGAATTCAAGTAGACAGTGTCAAAATAGTTACAGCCAAAATGATTTGAGGTAGTTTATGTGTTTTAAGTGTGGAATTGTTAGCGAATACGTATCATGCGTATTGTGAAAAACTTGCATTGCTAAACTTTCTGTCCTTTGCATTGCGTGTATTTTCAATCTTAGCCTGATGTTGCCCGGGAGCACTGCATATTCAGGAGGAAAACTGGAGTAAATCAAAATTCTGAGAATCTGTAGTAGAAGGAGAAATATATCACAAATCAATCGGACGAGTTTTCACTCGATTGCCAGGGATTCGGACGCAGACTCGCGATTATCATTGGATTGACAGACATTGACTCATTCTACATCTGAAAACCAAGGCGTACCACACATAATCCACCAAAGCGACTAGCAGAGTCTTATTGCATCATGAATAAGACACGAGGAATTTGGACAAATAGCCATCAGTATTGTTAATCCAAATGTTACTACTTGACAATGTAGAATCCAAACTATCACTGTCACTAAAGTACTTAAGAGTCCCCCCTGTCCCCGCGGCCAATCCACACACTTCAATTCCCAGTGATCAGCCATTAAGAAATTCCAGGCTGGATGCTAAAAACTGAATCTTGGCACTGAAGCATCAAGCACAAAAACATGTTTTCTAAAAACCATCTTGGGTTTGAGTGTTCAAAATTCTATAAGCTGCTTGCTACTGTTAGATTTTGATTAATTCGATGTAAACCCAAATCCAGTTGATTAAATTAGATGAAATTTCGACATAGATTTCAAGAGAAATTTACTGGAAATGAAAAGTAGACAATCTGTATAATTGGTGACCATTCCACGGTGCCAGTTTCATGCCCAGGCGGCAGGCAGTATACTCTCTTTCACAACCTGAGGAGAGGCTGACTCAGAGATACTCTCTATGCCTCTGCTGGCCAGTTTTTGCAGATTTGCATCAATACTTCAAATAAGCTTTACAATTCTCTTTATTCCATGTATTTTCTATATCCTGGACAACAACAAATGAATTCTATGCTCGTTCTTCATGATTGTTGCAGAATTCTTTGAAGATTGGAGATCTGATGGATTAGATAGTTGCGAAATTTAAGCGTATGTTGAGTCAGATGCAGAATTAGACTATCAAATCTTCAAACTCTCCGGCATTATTTTGCCTGAGAATAAGATGCATATTCACCATTACGTTCTAAGGCAGTGGTTCCCAAAACGAGGAATATGTACCCCTGTAGGTGCAGCTGATGTCTCTAAGGGGTACTTTGCCCTTATTTGTGTCATTGTGGACTCCCATGGACAGGAGGTTTTCCCACCTTTTACAAGCCTTCCATTCTTGCAGTCAGTTTTCCAAATGCAACTCACTGTCATTGGTGCTTACAGTGCCACTGCCAATCATCATCCATTTGCTTGCTGTTTCCCCCAGTTACAGGTTCTCTCTTATACATGCTACTAATAGCCACACCAGCAAGGTATAGTTGTGTCTTTTAGTAATACAAATTGGAGAGAAACAATCTGTGATCAGTAGAGCAGAGAGTGGTGGTTAAGTGAGTGACAGTGCATGAGTGTATGCACTGGTGTGGTGGTGCTAGTAGTAAATGCAAGAGCAGTATCTGTTGGTCCAAATACACTCCAAGTAGGTGAGGTCAGCTGATTTCTGGGTGCGCACTGCCAAAGCAGTCAACGTGATCAAACTATTTCAAGGTACAAAGTGAGTGGGGTAAGGGAATTTGCCAAATTGGGCTGCTGAATGAGTGGGCAAGAGGAAAGTTTGGGAAGAGAGGTTGTTGAGTAAGAGAGCGTGGGTCTTTGGAAAGTGAGGTTGTTGAGTGAGTGCAGAAAAATGGGCTGGCAGGTGCAAGCGGCTGAACGGCCTTCTCCTGTTACTATTTGTTTTGGTCTTATGGAAGAGTGGCTGCTGTTCATAGGTGTGGGAGATGGAGGTGAGATTCATACTTAGCCCTAGTCTAGCAGAGATTTAAAAGCACATCATTTGGTCCGATTCGATTTAAAACCCTTCAGTTCATTACAAGTCTGCCAAGAATTCAGAATGTAGTGAACTCAGACCCTTATTTATTGTTCAGCTGCCAACTATACACCTTCAGGGACCTTTGTCAGGGTGCATTAGCACGGTGGTTGTCTAGAGATGTGTTTAACCCTCATCACAGTTTCTGAATTTTAATTAAGTTAATTCAATAAATATGGAAAAAGCTAGGATCAGAATATTGATGCTACTTAATAGTTATAAAATTCCATCACGCCCAGTTATGTCTTTTACAGAAGGAAAATCACTGGTCTGCCATATCTGGTATACATGTGTCTACAGATGTTCAGTATTGTGGTTGACACTTAACTGCCTTCTGAAATGCAAGTCACTCTATTGTCACCACTCTCTTCTGGTTGACCAGACTAAATACAGCCTTGCCAGTACTCCCTACATTCTGCGAATGAATAAAACAGGAGATGTATGCTAGACCCACTATTAGACTTGCTCAGGTATCGAAATCATGAGCATCACTAAATTGCTGCAGACTTGAACTTTGATTTATTTGATAGTATAATTTATGGCCTACAGGGCCAATGTTATATTTGTTATCTGTCTTGGAAGCTGAAGTAAATTTATGGCTTTGCCATTTATCACTGAAGATTCCAAGATTAGTCTTTTATCAGTAAAAGAACTTACCATCAGGGGAGTTAGGCAACCCATGAAACTAGCTTTGTAAAAACACAATCAGAGTTCATCAATATCCCAAGCTGGGTTGACATCCATTTAATTGTACCCATTGAATGCTGAATTTTAATCATTGGTGGCAAGAGGAGGGCATTAATTGGAAGAAACACCAACTAATATTGCTATGATCCTAAACAAAAACAAAGTTGCTGGATAGGCTCAGCAGGTCTGGCAGCATCTGTGAAGGAAAAAACAGAGTTAGTGTTTCGGGTCCGGTGACCCTTCCTCACAACCAGAATTGAGGAAGGGTCACCGGACCTGAAACATTAACTCGGTTTTTTTCCTTCACAATTGCTGCCAGACCTGCTGAGCTTTTCCAGCAACTTTTGTTTTTGTTCCTGATTTACAGCATCCGCAGTTCTTTCGGTTTTTATTTGATATGATCCTAGGTTAATAGGTTCAGAAAAAAGTGGAAGTAATACAACTGAAGGTTTAGTAGTACAGAACTTGAATATTGCTGAAATAAGCTACCTGTACCGTGGGGTCCTCTACTATTGTCTATCGCATGCTTACCTCCACACCTTGAAGTTCCATGCACTATAAGATTGGCCTCATCAGCAAGGCTGAGCCATTTGATCACTGCGCAAGCTTGCTGCTGAAATTGTGGGAACATCAAAGCCATCCTGTGAAATAACAGTTACTCAGATCAGATCACTTTTAGCTGTTTATTGCACAAACCTGTGTATGTGCCTAATGTCACCACGCTTGGTCCTGCAATGTGCCCAGTCTACCTCAGATCACCCTGGAAGGTAAGGTAGCTCAAAAATGTGAACAACATGTGAAGGTTAACAGTTTCTTTCATGCTGTTGCTATGGTTTAGTAACATGAGTGGTGTTCATCACTAACAGGATGCTGCTGTCAGTCTAGAAAGAAGATTAGCCTATCGCACAAATGAGTGATGTTGTATGCAGATTTCATTGCTGGTATGATGCTAAGCATGTATACCATACATTCCAAAACCTGGTGACTTGTTTCAGATGGCAGGTTCTTTTAGCTGTTTGCAACATGCAAAGTACTGAATGTACTTAACTAGCCTATGCTTGCAAAACTCAAAACATGTTGTCCATCATTAGATTGGATAATATTTTCTTCATTATCCTGAATGTGCTAAGAATTACAGTGACAATCAACCGACGATTGTTAGGTGACTTCCAGTGCGGTGCACTTGAGAATACTAGAGCCTGATGGAGCAATAGACAAGGCATTGTTCTATGTAGACAGAGAGAACATTTACATATCTTGCACCTATTTTAATTTAACAAAGTAGGTGACAGCCATTCTCTGGTTAATTTCTCAGAGCAATGCCCTGACCAATCAGAGTTAAACTGTATGGTTTAAATTTAAACAAAGCTTGAGAGTTAATTGGCAGTCATCATTTAACCGATATATTCTCCATGAGATTGCCTCTACCAACAGAGTCCATTTGTCAACCAATCAGGACTTCTTTCTAATACAGTACAAAATATTTTTCCTCTTTACACTAGTATTCTTGCAAATGTCGTGACAGTCTGAATTTGTGTGGATTTTGATATATTTAAGACATTTGAACCCATGCTTGCTCTCTCATTTCTTTTGATATAAAACAAAGCTATTCCCCTATTTTTGAAATGTGGAATAAAAACCTAACATGCTTTAAAACCATGATTCACTAACCTGTTAGTTCTGACTGCCAAATTACAGAGACAAAGGAAATGTTTGAAGGTAAATCAACTTTTAACGCTGATTTAGGTCTTTACTGTTGAAGTGACTGGAGAAAAGAAAATTTCTGCTCTTCATAACTAAATAAATGTGGATTATGAAAAATAATAGTGGTTCTCTCTGCAAACCAGACCTTTACAATTACACACTGTCAGTGCAAGAATGACTTTTCACTGGTATAGAAATGCACGTACTTAAGAAATGCCAGGATTTCATACAAGTTGAGCAGTTCTCATTTCTTTCATTTTTCTTGCAGCATATGGGTTAAAGGAGATTCGATGGTGTGTTATTTCCACTCTTGAGATGAACAAGTGCATGAAAATGAAAGAAGCTTTTGAATCTGCCAAAATATATCCTTCCATGTCCTGCGTTCTAGCAGCCTCGGCATTGGACTGTGCAGAAAAGATAGCGGTATACTTTTGGTCATTTTCCCCATACCTACAACTTTTGCTGAAACAATTGAATCCAATTTGCCTCATTAGCTTCTTTCAGGCATACTTATCCTCTGTAATATTTAGAAAGTCTTCACTACTTTATCTTGTTAATTTAGTAAAAATCAAATAACATGTTGTTTCTCTGAGTTTCCTTGACTTCTTTATATGAAATGACATTTTTTGAAATATAAGATTATGAATTGTCAATATTGCTTTATTGGTGAAGGCCACAAATTGGCTCTTGTTGACCTACCTACTTTACTGAGCATTAGAGCATCAATTTAATGACAAGGTCCTGGGGAGTATTACTGAACAAAGAGACCTTGGCGAGCAAGTTCATAGTTCCTTGAAAGAGGAGTCGCAGGTAGATAGGATAATGAAGAAGGTGTTTGGTATGCTTGCCTTCATTGATCAGTGCATTGAGTATAGGAGAAGGGAGGTCATGTGCAGCTGTACAGGACATTGGTGAGGCCACTTTTGGAATACTCTGTTCAATTCTGGTCTCCCTGCTACGGGAAGGATGTTGTGAAACTTGAAAGGGTTCAGAAAAGATCTACAAGGATGTTACCAGGGTTGGAGGGTTTGAGCTATAGGGAGAGGCTGAATAGGCTGGGGCTATTTACCCTGGCTGTTGGAGGCCGAGGGGTAACCTTATAGAGGTTTATAAAATCATGAGGGGCATGGATAGGGTAAATAGACAAGGCCTTTTCTCTGGGGTGTGGAGTCCAAAACTGGAGGGCATAGGTTTAAGGTGAGGGGGAAAGATTTAAAAGGGATCTAAGGGGCAACTTTTTCAAGCAGAGGGTGGTGTGTGTAATGAATGAGCTACCAAAGGAAGTGGTGGAGGCTGATACAATTACAACATTTAAAAGGCATCAGGATGTGTATATAAATAGGAAGGTTTTAGAGGAATATGGGCCAAATGCTGGCAAATGGTACTAGATTTATTTACGATATCAGGTTGGCATGGACAAGTTGGACCGAAAGGTCTGTTTCGTGCTGTACTTCTCTATGACTCTAAGTAGGGTTAATTTTAATTTGTATCGCCTTTGGCATTAAGGCCTCAAAAGCTGGGTGAAAGCATTATATCCTTATTAATCCCAATTACCAAGGTGCAATTAGGACCAAGGACATGTCACTGGGCAGCTAAATAATCTATTGTTTCTGGTGTTTAGGTCAATCTAGTATGACGTCTGGTGTTTCACCTTCCCAATTTACTACTTTAAATTGGATATGATATTATGCATGCCCTTATGATTTTCATGGGTGTTGAAGATAATTTTGATTATTATTTTTGTAGGGCCAGCAGAAGTAAAGTGTTCCTCCATACTCTGGAGAAATAATTTAAATCCTAGCTGTCCTAGCCTCCCCCACCATGATTCACCTTCTTACTGCCAGCTAGAGCAATCTACTATTTGCAGGCAGAGTATCTGATGAATTTCACTGGGTCTTTTGTATGACTCTTGAATGAACTCAAACCAATGGCTGTTTCTTTGCTTTAAGTATGGGTTATAATCACACAACACTCAGTCAATCTCAGTACTTGAAAGATGCACAGTTCCTAGCCTATAAAGGAGTAGGGCATTTCTGTATATATGAATTAAAATAGAGAGCTGGATAAATATGTGTCTAGATATTTAAAATCCGCAGGCTGGATTTTGCTGAGACTGGCTCAGTAATATTCAGTGAGATGGCAGAGTTTTCCTTCCATTAAAGATAGCAACCAGGATGTCATGCTGCCAGCCAGATCAACCAGTTGGCAGCGGAGTCTTGGCAGAAGCACCAAGAGGTAGTCAATGTTAAGGCAGTTTGGGGACTATAATGGCATTTCAAGACGGAGTTGCCTTGCTGCATGCATAGCAGTGCAGAAATAGACAAATCATTGGCCAGCAGGTTAATAGGGACAAAAGGGAAAACTCTCTGTGGGAACGTACTCGACCGTGATTATGGCCAATCGTAGTCATGTGTGTCACCATGTGGTGTGGCTCCACTAGATCTGATAACTTCCATAGCCTGCCCCAAGGAGACCTATTCTCTAAAGCTGGCTTTCAATCATGGCAAGGATTCCCTTTTCCCAGCCACAATTTTTTGTCCGTAATTAGAGCATTAATATAATGGTTGCCCCCATCTGGCAACCAAACAATTCCTGCCCACATACATCAGGGAGTTGTTTTGTCCTGAAATAGCCTGGTTCTCTTTTCTCACATTCCCACTCCCGCCCGCCCTCATTTTCGCACATCCCCTATTGCCAAGGCTTCCATTGTGCGACTGAGAAAGTTTAACCCTGTAATTTAGAATATCAAAATGAAATCACTGAAAGAGTCGATTCACGAGGTCAGTCATGTCAGGAAAAATATTATCTATTTTCAAATATTTATTTTCAAGATATAAAGAGGAACAGCTCAGTTAGACAGAGAGAAACTATTTCATCTTGTTGGGGTATCTAGTAGGAAGTGGCATGGTTTAAAAATTAGAGCTATATTTTGCAAAGTGTAGTTTCTATGTGCACAAATGATTTGAAAATTTTCTTTTGCAAACAGCAGTTAATGCACATCAATTTTGAGATTGAGATTGAGAGATGTGAAGGCATGTGGAGAAAAGGTGTGTATACAGATTAAGGTTGCAGAACAGCATGATCTCATTGATTGGCAGAATAGATTCTTGTTAGGGAACGGAATCAAAGATCAGTGTGAATAGATGGGAATGTGGCATTCAAACATATGATCTTATTGCGGGGCAGAGCATTCTTGAAAGGCTGAATGACCGACTTCTGCTTCTAATTCTTACGTTTGTATGTGTGCTCATACAGGGTTGGAAAGATTCTTGTTTCTTCCAGTCTCGACTCCTCACCTCCCTTTAGGGAATTTATGATGCTTGGGAAATCCAGCCAGCCAGATTTAAAACTGGAGAAGGGAAACAGCAATTAAATCACAGGCTCGCAACCAGATTAAAATATTTAAATGAGCAGCCTACCTCCTGAGATCAAGTGGTTGCCAGCTTCCTCCTTTTGCTGAACCTCTGCCCTTGGCCATGCCTCTTTACAAAATTCAAAGCAGACTGGGTGGCTCTTGGTGTGAACTTTTCAAAATGTTTACATCCACCTCACCCATTGCCATACATTATCACATGCCCTCTCCAGATATTTGTATGACTGTGTTAAATTTCTTATTTTTCCAATTTAAACATTTCCCACTTATTTTCAACTGAAAATAAACAAATGACCCTGTTTGAAGCCGCATTTATTACAAAATTGGCACTGTAATTTCGGTTTACTGGTCATTCCTTTCATAGGCACCTGGTGGAAAAAAACAGGATGACTGGGATTCAGCAGCTAACCACAATATTCAAATTGCTAACCACAAAGACTTACACAGTACAACAGACAAGTCAGCAAACACCACAGAGCAGAAAAAGAGTGAATAGGTTTTTTGCTACAGTAAACAGCTTGTCCTGCGGAATAATTTCTGTATTACTCAGACAACTTTCAACCAAACAGTGTACGTTGGAATCACACACAGAATGGCCCAACCCTTTATTCATCAATGCTATTCATAAAAGTCCCCAGTCAGGTATATAAAATTAGTTGCTGGAAAAGCTCAACAACTTTGTTTTTGTTCCTGATTTACAGCATCGGCAGTTCTTTTGGTGTTTATATAAAATTAGTTAATTGTGTATTTGTAATCAGTTGAATTAATTTAGAGAACTGTTAAAAGCCATAAAACAAAGTGCTGGAGAAACTCCACAGATCTGGCAGCATCTGTGGAGAGAGACATGGAATTAACATTTTGGTCCGAAATAAAGCCATAGTGGACTCAAAACTATAACTCTGTTTCTCCATCCACAGACTCTGCCATACTGTGAATTTCCCCAGCACTTTCTGTTTTTATTTTAGATCTCTGTAGTACTTTAATCTAATTGTTAAAGGCAAATTGTATTTAACTAACTTGCTTGAGTTTTTTGAGGTAACACAGATTATGAACATATGAACAAGAAATAAGAATAGGCCACTCGGCCCTTCGAGCCAAGGGCTCTAAGATCATGGCTGATCTGATTTTTACTTCAAACCTACATTTCTGCATATTCCCAATAATCTTTCATTGTTTTGGTAATCAAGAATCTATCTATCACTGCCTTAAAAGTATTTTAAAAGGTTACAACTACTGCCTTTTGAGAAAGAGAACTCTGAGGACTTATAACCCTCTCAGAGACAAAATGTTTTCTCATCTAAATTTTTAATCGGCGACCACTTATTTTTAAACTATGACCACTAGTTCTAGATTCTCCCACAAGAGGAAACATCCTTTCAACATCCACCTAGAGAACTAGAGAAGTCCCCTCAGGATCTTACATGTTTCAATTAAGTCATCTCCAGCATTTCAAATTCCACAGGATACAGGCCCACCATGTTTAGTCTTCTGTCTCATGGCAATGCGTTCATTTGAAGTGCTGATCTAGTAAATCATCTCTGAATGCTTCCAGTATATTAACTCTCTTCCATAAGTATGATAAACAGCAATATATGCAGTACCCCAGATGGGCTCTCACTAATGTCCTGTATAATTGAAGCATAACCTTCCTACTCTTGCACTCAATTCCCTCACAAAAACTGAGAACTCAGTTCTGAGAAAAGGTCACTGGATCTGAAACGGTAACTCTGATTTTTTCTTCACAGATGCTGCTAGACCTGCTGAGCTTTCCCAGCAACTTCTGCTTTTGTTCCTGATTTACAGCATCCGCAGTTCTTTTGGTTTTTATTAACTTAATGCAGTGATATGGTGTAAACAGATCCCCAAGATGTGTTAGATAAAGTGCCACTCAGTAGGCTTTTCAGCAAAATGGAAGCCAGAGAATACAAAGTGAGGGGGTGACATAGAAATGAAATTGGCTAATTGATAATAATGGACACCAGTAATGTGTGGGTATTTCTCAGAACGGAGGAAGGTAAACAACCATGTTCCCAGGGATCAATACTTGAATCTCTTTTTATTTCTTAATTTAGTCATGCAGACTTATGAATAGAGGGCACAAATTCACAATTTGGAGATGAACAAAACTTTAATGTGTTGCGAACTATGAGTAGGAAGATGACGTTAAAAGAACATAGACAGGTTCATAGAATGGGTGGGTACCTGGCAGATTGAATTCCATACACAGGAATCTGAAGTGTAACATTTTAGTAGAAAGAACAAGGAAAGACATCACAAATAAATGGTACAATTCTAAAGGTGGTTCGTAAGCAGAGACACCTGGGGGAATATATGCATATTAGGGGAGGCGATGGGCTAGTAGTATTATCGCTGGACTGTTAATCCAGAGACCCAGATAATGTTCTGGGGCCCCTGGTTCGAATCCTGTGTGTGGATAGTGGAATTTGAATTCAATAAATATCTGGAATTAAGAATCTAATGATGACCATGAGTCCGTTGTCGATTGTTGGAAAAACCCATCTGGTTCACTAATGTCCTTGGGGGAAGGAATCTGCCATCCTTACCTGGTCTGGCCTACATGTGACTCCAGGTCCATAATAATGCGTTTGGCTCTTAACTGCCCACTCGGCAATTAGGGATGGGCAACAAATGCTGCCTAGCCAGTGACACCCTCATCCTGTGAACAAATGAAGAAAAAACAAGGCGATATGTAGGGTTGAGAAACTGGCTAAAAAATCTTACGGAATCCTGGGCTCTACAGATAGAGCTTTGCTGTACAAAAACAAGGCAGTTATCATGAACCTTTATGAAACACAGTTTTGGCTTTGGTTGGAGTATCATGTCAAATTCTGAACAGAGGATTCAAGGATGTGGGACTTAGTTACCATTGGAAAAGCTGTGTTTTTTTCCTTTCAGAAAAGCAAAGTGAGAGAAGATAAGCATTCAAAATTGTGAGAGGTTTAGACAGTGCAGATGTAGAGAAACTGTTCACCTGGAATAGAGAGGCTGTGAACCACAGGACATAAATTTAAGGGAACACGCAAAAGAAGCAATTGAAATTTGCAAAAAAAAAAAAAAAAATTTTTATGCAGTGAATGCTTACAATCTGGAATGCACAGGTTGAAAGTGTAGTGAAGGCAGATTCAGTTATTGCTTTCAAAAGTGAACTAGGGAAACACCAGAAGATGGTTTTAAAAAATGGTCATGGGGAAAGGGCGAGAAGTGGGATTACCTGAAATGCTTTTGCTGAGTGATGGCATGGACACAGTGAATCAATAGGTCTACTCCTATGATCAGGCTGTGATTCAATGTTAAAATAAAACAAAGAATTGAGGTTGCTAGAATCTTAAACAAGAATACAAATTGCTGGAGAAACTAAGCAGGTCTGTCGCAGAAATAGCAGAGTTACCGTTCCAAGTCCAATGATCCTTCATCAGATGATGATAGATCTGCTGAGTGCTTCCAGCAATTTGAGTGCTTCAGTGATTCAATCTAGGTGGCAAGATGGCTGTAAATGAGACTGGAGTGGGGGGAGAAAAATTGCTGATTTAAGTAATATAAACCCATCTGTTTCATGCTCTGTTCAGTCAGATGCAGGATGGCTAGATATAAAATTTCCTCTACACTATTCCAGCAATGCCTCAATTGTAATTACAATTAACAGCACTGCAATAAGGTACTTTATTCAGTTTCTTACACCAGCTGGTGCTTGGAATAGGACTGTAAGATTAATGCTACTTTGTGTAAAACTCTTCAGTTTTGTAAGGTCCATAACTTTAACGAGTGATGTTAACATTGGCCATATGCCTTTCACATGAGGTCCTAACAGCTAACCAAAAGAGAAGACTTTTATTTTTATTAATCTAGACTGGTTTTAAACCAAATCACCAAAAGATGAATGAATTTATCTCCTGGTCTCTTGAATTTATTAGGGGCTAAATTAGATGGGTGCCAAATTCGGGTGCAGTTAAAATGTTCTAATGAGACTTGCCTGTCCACTGAAATGGATGAAAAATGAAATCACACAGCATTATTCCACACACCATGTCAAAAAAAATTGATCATGTGGGAATTGCAGTGAACAAATTGCCTGCTGTTATTTCTACATTACAATACAGTTTGAACTTAAAGTGCTTTGTAATGTTTTGAGATTATGAAAAGTCCTGTGTGAATACCAGCTTTTTATAATTAGACAACATTGAAACTGTTTAAGATTAATTTTTTATTCAAATGGTAACTATTTTAAATCATTTATTAGAACAAGGAAGCCGATGCTGTGTCATTGGATGGAGAGACTCTCTATCGGGCTGCAAAGGAATATAAACTAAAGCCCATTATTGGTGAAACGTATGATCAAGGTATTGCACTTAGGGATCAAGTGATCCGTACCATTAATAAGGGGTATGCTACTTTAATGGTTGTGTTACTCAATTAATAATCCAAGGGTGGGGTTCCAATGAACCTGCATTCAAATGCCATCATGGCAGAAAATCTGGCACCAGTGAATTAGTAGATCCCTACAGTGGAAACAAGTCCACACCGACCTTCAGAGCCTCCCACCCAGACCCATTCCCCCATAACCCACCTATTCTACACATTCCTAAACACTATGAGCAATTTAGCATGGCCAATCCACCTAGCCTGCACATCTTTGGAGCGTGGGAGGAAACCCACGCAGACATGGGGAGAATGTGCAAACTCCACACAGATAGTTGCCTGAGGGTGGAATCGAACCAGGTCCCTGGTGCTGTGAGGCAGCAGTGCTAACCACTGTGCTGTCCTGTGCCAGGATCATAATAAATAATACAGTTGACTCTCTAATGTCCTGTAGAATAGAAACCTTGCTGGCCTTAACCTGTTTGTCCTATATGTGACTCCAGGCGCACACCAACAAAGTTGATTCCTATTTGTCCTCCTAAGTAGCCTGACAAGCACACCAGTTCTGCTTGGCTCATAAGCAGTCCTTTCCTCCCTTTTAAGTTAAAGGTTTTCAGAAGTCTGGAATTCATAAACATTTAATTGGGTTGCCTGCTCCACTCACTAATGTTCAAAACTGAAATGGACAGACTAGCAATTTAGAGTGGTCTTAAGGATCAGGAGCTTGCTTGTTTCTCTGACTTTTATTAAAGTATTGTTTTTTTGGGAACTTTGTCTTGGGAGTACTGTAGAAGAATCTGGTAAGTAAATTGAGTTAGTTTATAAAATCATCGATATATGTTTTGCGGGAGGATGGTTATGTGAGAGTAAAGGAGATCTGAAGTTTGTCTGAGATTTCCCAACTGCTGAGGGGGTAGAAACCATGTTTTTTGTATGGGTATGGTATGGTATTGAGATGCATGATTGAAATGCTGGTCCATCCAGATGATTTGTTAAATTCCTTTAAACTGATTTTGATTGTAATACATGTTCTCTGTCTTTCATGCCTGTTTAGAAGCTGGAACCCTTTTTTACGCAGTGGCTGTTGTCAGAAAATCAGACAGTTCAATCACTATCAACAATCTGAAAACATTAAAATCCTGCCATACTGGATTCTGTAAAGCAGCAGGGTGGAGTGTTCCTATTGGTTATCTGATTAACACTGGGAAAATGTCTGTGATGGGTTGTAACATTCCAGAAGGTAATGCTTAAGCAATTGATTCTTAATGATGTCTGTCAATTGCATTTTCTATCTGTTCCTGTCTTTCTTGCTGCGGTGGGTATTGACTGATTCCTTAAGTTTTCAATTATCCGTGGGTCCATCCTCTTCATTATGATTTGTATATTTACTTTAATGATAATTTGTCATGATAAGAGGATAGTTTATGATACTTTCCTAACCCATTTGTTCAAGAAAGGGAGATTTATGCAGTCTAGACCTAACATTTATTAATCTTGAGTTGACATCTTAATTTTCACTTAATTGGTGGATGTTTCCATTATTTCAGATACTTAATCACTTATTTCTCACAGCCATTTTTAGGTGATTTTTATTGTCTGTGGTGCGTGGCTGAAAAGAATGTACTACATCCTTTTTAAATACAAGAGATATCGTGTAAAAATTGCTTTTACCCTTAAAACTATATAAATTTAATACACAAAATCACAGTATTAATCTAAACATTCCGCTACACAGAGTATATAAAAGGTGATGGAGTGCAATATTCTTGAGTATACAAAGTCTCAACCACTTAAAGTCTAAAGATTTAGACAGTTACAAACTTAAATGCACCATTATTATAAAGTTAGCCATAATACAAAGATTTATGTTCAGCCAAATGTAATTGCCTTTCTTCTAAAACCAATTAAAATAAGCCAGTGCAGAGTACAGCTGTAATCATGATTCTTTTCTAGTAACTTCTCCCTACAATTTTGGTTGCCTCTTAAGGAGTTCATGATCGAGGAGGATGATAATTGCCTTATTTAACCTTGAAGATTGCATGTTCTCACAATCATGAATTAATCTAAACAGGGGCAGCTGGTGTGTTGATACCTTCATTCTGATAAAAATCCCATGGTCCATTTCTTTGTCAACAGAATCTAAGCAGAGTCACATGATGTTGAAGAATTAAAATCTAAATCAGTTAATTATGCAGAATGTATTAGATTAATCAATATAGTTTGTGTTTATAACTAGGTCTAGCTTGGAATGTTAATTTCCCTACGAATCCATACAGCCTTTTAATAATTGCACTCTTCCCATATAGGTAACTGATGCAGTGTCTACAAGTTCTCTTGTACATTTATTTCAGTACGTGAATTTAGATTTAGGACTTAGCTTCAGTAGCCTTTAGCATCATTGGGATGAAAGGAAAATCCGTTATTTTTGATAGCTTTGTTCATCACTGAGCAGCAACATAACAGGTAGATGATTAGGCCTTTGTTGACTAATTGGGATGTTTTGCTGGTTTAACTCTAGCTATGTCATCTAGGTGAATTCCTGGCCAAACTGAGCCTTAAGTTTAGAATTAATGACATAGCTAATCCGGAAATGGAATGTAAACTGTTTTTGAAAAGTAGAACTGATAGCTCGATTTAAGGGAATCCTTAAAGGTAAATGACAATACATGAAACAAAAATGTTAGTATCTTTTGGAATAGCTGGTCATAATGTTCATTAATGTTTCAGCATTTCATTGGCTGCTGAGGTAGCAAAACATCTAGTAATTGACATGACAAATGTGAAGGCAGCAAGTTAAGTCTCTGTCCACGTGATAATCTGATGTAAAGCACATGAAATTCCTATTTGATAGCTGACAATGTAGAAGAGTAGTTAGGGGACTTTTACATCATTTTAGGACATGAAAGCAGAATTGAAGGTGCAGTTGACAGTAGGTACAGTGAGTGTTAGCTTTATAAGGCATGTTGCGTGTACAGCTCTTCACTTAGTGTTTAGCTGATTTTAGAACCTATGGAGCCAGTTCGGCACATTCTGCACTTTACAGGTAACAATAATGTCAACTAAGGCCACCTCTGATGCAAGTTGATATGCCTAGCCTCACTCCTTATCTTACTGTGGCAAATTTGATTAGGGATCTTAAGGTGAAGGAACCTCTAGGGGGCAGTGACTATAATATGATAGAATTTACCCTGCGGTTTGAGAGGGAGAAGCTTGAATCTGATGAAATGGTATTGTAATTGAGTAAAGCTAACTACAAAGACATGAGGAAGGAGCTGTCTAAAGTTGATTGGAAGGGGAGCCTAGTGGGAAAGACAGTGGAAAACAATGGCAGGAGTTTCTGGGGCTAATTCGGAAGGCACAGCAGAATTCATCCCAAGGAAGAAGACTTGAGGGAAGGATGAGGCAACATAGCTGACAAGGGCAGTCAGGGACAGCATAAAAGCAAAAGAAACGTACAATATGGTGAAGATTAGTGGGAAGCCAGAGGAGTGGGAAGCCTCTAAAAACAAGTAGATGACAAGTAATAAAGCAATAAGAAGGGAAGAAGATGAAATATGAGGGCAATCTAGCTAATAATGTAAAAGAAGATTGTGAGAGTTTTTTTTAGATATACAAAGATAAGAAAGGCAAGAGTGGGCATTGGTCCACTGGAAAATGAGACTGAAGGAGTAGTAATGGGGAACAAAGAATGGCAGAGGAACTGTATGGGTACTTCCATCATTCTTCACTGTGGAAAACACCAGTAGATTACCGGAACTCAAGAGTCAGGAGGCAGAGGTAACCCCAGTGGATCACAAAGGAGAAAGTGCTGGGGAAGCTGAAAGGTCTGAAGGTAGATAAATCACTTGGACAGGATGGACTGCGCCCTAGGTTTCTTGAGGAGATAGCTGACGGGATTGTGTAAGCACTGGTGATTATCTTTCAAGAATCATTGGTATCAGGGAAGGTGCCGAAGAGTTGGAAGAGAGTGAGGCAGAAGACAGAAAGTTATAGGTTGGTCAGCCAGACCTCATTCGTTGGATGGATTTTAAGAGTCCATTATTCAGAATGAGATTGTAGAGTGCTTGGAAGTGCATGGTAAAATGGAGCTGAGTCAGCACAGCTACATCTTTGGTGGGGTGTTAGGAGCAACCTACTGGCATGGATAGAGGATTGGCTATCTGGCAGGAGGCAGAGATTTTTTCACAAAATGCAGCCAGTGACCAGTGGAATTGGAACCACAACTATTCACAATATACATTAATGATCTGGACATAGGAACTGAGGGCTTTATTACTCAGTTTGCAGACAACAAAGACAGATTAAGGGACAAGTAGTGTTTAGGAGGCAGGGAGGCTGTAAAAGGACATGGACAGGCTAGAAGAGTGGGTAAAGAAGTGGCAGATGGAATATACTGTAGGAGAGTGTAAGGTTATGCACTTTGTTAGGAAGAAAAGAGGCATGGACTATTTTCTAAATGGGAAAGGCTTCAGAAATCTGAAGCACAAAGGGACTTAAGAGAATCCTGAACCAGGACTCCTAAGGTTTACCTGCAGAGTCAGTTGGCAATTAGGAAGGCAGATGCAATTTTGGCACTTATTTCGAGAGGGTTAGAATACAAGATCAGAAGTACTGTACTTGAGGCTGTATAAAACTCTGGTCAGACTGCATTTGGAATATTGTGAGCAGTTTTGGGCCCCATATTGAAGGAAGGTTCTTTCTGGCCTTGGAGGGGTTCAGAGATTTACGAGAATCATCCTGGGGATGAAGGGCTTGTCTTATAAGGAGTGGTTGATGACTTTGAATCTGTAGAGTTTAGAAGGATGAGGGAGAATCTCAAATTTACAGTATGCTGAGAGACCTGGATAGATTGGATGTGGAGAAGATGTTTCCACTAGTAGGTAGGACTAGGACCAAGGGCATAATCTGAGAGTGAAGGGACAACCCTTTTAGAACTGAGATAAGGAGGAATGTCTTCCGCCAGAGGGTGATAAATCTGTGGAACTTGTCACAGAAGGCTGTGGTAGCCAAGTCATTGAGGGTATTTAAGACAGAAATAAGTTCTTGATTAGCAAGGGTTCAAATGTTAAAGGGAGAAGGCAGGGGAATGGGATTGAGAAACATTTGCGCCATGATCAAACAGCGGAGCGAACTCGATAGGCTGAATGGCCTAATTCTGCTCCTATATCTTATGGTCTTTGAAAAACAGAAGGATGTGGGGAATTCCCAACATGAAAAGCCAATATCCCAGTGTAGTGGATGTACCAAAAAAAATGACTATTCCAGAATGTTTAACACAAAGCAACTTGACCAAAACAGCGGAAGAGGAAATAAGGAAAACCAACATATCAGTTGAAAAGCTTCAAACATAAACTGAAAATACTGCTGCAGATCTTAAAAATAGAAAACACTGAAACATTCAGTTAGTATTTCAAATCAATAATCTTAAAACATTGCATGATTCACAAATCTTATTGTCCTCTTGAGCCACTCTTGTGAACAGCATCCAAGGTTTTGAAATTCCAGATTTGGCAGCCTGTCATTTTCCATTTATTTTTAAAACTCACTCTCAGGACATTGAGTGTGTGTGTGTATCAGCTGATTGACCAGCTGGGCTACTGCAGAATGGAGTTAAATTCCACATCACTATGGCTTTGGTATCATACGTACTTTGGGTCAGGTTTTTGAAAATACATTAATGAGTGACATTTTTACAAAGATCTAACAACTTCACAGTCACTCTTACTAATAATAACAATTTTAAAAACTTAAAACTAATTCTGAAATTGACACAGTGGGATTTCTGTAGATTATTAGTTTGGCTCCTGGTCCAATGACCTAACCATTAAGCTACCATATCCATTAATCTGGATGAGTGGAAAATTACAGACTGGTGAGCATAGAAGTTAAGAACCACAACCATCTGATTTTTCAGGGCAACAAGGTGCAGAGCTGGATGAACACAGCAGGCCAAGCAGCATCATAGGAGCAGGAAGGCTGACGTTTCGGGCCTAGACCCTTTTCTGATGAAGGGTCAAAGCCCGAAACGCCAGCCTTCCTGCTCTTATGATGCTGCTTGGCCTGCT